TGGCGCGGCGTTCCCGGGGGGTCAGCGCGCAGCGAAAGAGCGGTGCCTGGCAGCTGGGAGACAGGCCGGGGACCGGGCTGGCTCGCGGGGGCGCGTCTTAGCCGCTGATTGGTGTGATCCTTTTGATGGATGGCTTCCGAGAAAGCTCGGCCAATCAGCGCACACTTGCCATTGTCCAGACTCCAATTCTCCGCCCCCTCGGTGCCACGCCCGGATCTCTCAGCCTCTCTCATTGGAGCATTTCCGTTCTTCCCCGAGCTGCGGAACTGAACACACGGTGCCAGGGCTTGCCCGGGCAGGTCAGGCAGCTAGTAGCCAGAGTGACCTGGGGAGCTTTCCCGAATGTGCTGGGAGGGTTTTCGTTTGTGTGTTCTCTGCAGTTCAGCAGTTGTGTAGTGGTTCAGCCCCCTCTTTCTAAAAACACAATGACAAGTTAAAAAGAAGAAGAAAAAAGGCGTGCTTTCATTCTCTTTATAGAGGCGGTAGATTTCCCTATAGTGTGGTTTATTACATTCCAGAGGGTTCTCTTTGGGTTTTGGAAGTCAGTTGATCTTTTTCTTATTCTGCTTTTTTTTTTTTTTTTTTTTTTTTTTTTTGTGAAATACATAACAGTAAAGTTGGACTATGTAGTTTCTTGGTCCTCTACTAATTTTCAGGATTTGTTTTTTAAAACAAATTTAACTTACAAGCCTGATGGAGCGCCCTCCTACAACCTCCAGTGGCTTAAAATGAAAAGTGTTAAGCAGACTATAGCAGGAGCAGTACGTGGAAAACTCAACTGCAGGGACTGGGCTCTCAGACTCCAGAGTAGGGTGTGGAGGAATATTACTCTCTTTATTCTTGTGAACTTAATCTTTCTGGGCCTCTTCTCTCCCAGGTTAACGGGAAAACAATTATCCCGCCTGTTTATATTTTTAACTCGTGATTATAACTCTCGCAGGACTCCCTTCTCCCGGGTTGAGAAGGGCAGGCCCTCAGGAGCAGCTCTGAGGGAGTCAGTTCTCGACTCTCAGAGATGGTCCCGGGTGCAAGACTTCACTGGTTTTCATGAAAAGAGCTCAGCCAGCTGGCCGCCCATAAAGGTCATAAACGAGTTACCAGTCTTGTTTTGTTTTTTTGAGACAGGGTCTCTACATAGTCCTAACTGTCCTGGAACTCTCTATGTAGACGAGGCTGGTCTTGAACTCGGATCTACCTGCCTCTGCCTCCTGTGGTACTGGGATTAAGATGTACACCATCACACCTGGCCTTTTTCTTTCATTAAAAGTAAAAAGGTTTATTTTGTTTTTTAAGATTGTGTCTATATGTGTATGTCTTTGTGTGGGCATGTGTGCATGAGTGTGGATACTCACAGAGGTGATGGATTTGGAGTTTCAGGACGTTGTGAGTTGTCCAATGTGGGTGCTGGGAACCTAATTCACTTGGATTCCTGGTTCTGTAAATCTACAAAAGCAGTGAGTGCTCTAACCCCTGAGCTGTCTCACCAGTCCCTTTATTTTGGTTTCTCAAAAATAGACAGTAAAAAGTATCTTAATCATAGATAACTGGGAGGAATAAATAATGGAAAGCATGTGGTAAGTGGTAGCCTTTATTCTTAACATAGATTTATTTTTAAATACATAAATACTTGGCCCTGTTTATTCTGTTGTCAGTCACCTCAATCTAGAAGAAAGATCCGAGTATTAGAATTTCTAAACTGCAACTGTTACTTTCTACATCTTATATTTAAATTTTCCATTGAGACCTATTGGCAATATATTATCATATGTTGAAAAATATTTTCTCTCAGGACCCTGTTTTTTCTTTTTGTTGAACTCTCAATTGTTCACATAAAAATTATTTCACTGACATTAAAGAAACATATAAATAAAATCTAATAGATATTCTTTGCTTATTTTTCTTTCCTATTTCAATTAAAAAACTCACTATTTTCATTTTTAATTATGTACATAGGTGTGTGTATGTGTGGGTTTGTACAGTGCCCTAGGAAGTGGGGAAAGGGTATTGTATGCCCTGTGGTTGGAGTTCAGGTGATTGTGAGCTACCCAACATGGATGCTCTTAACTTTGCAGACATCTTTCCAGATCTCTGTTGCAATTTTTAAATCTTAATATTTTGTTCTGACAAATTCATATACATATAGTATATCACAGCATCACAAAATGGCCTCTCTAGGCCTTCATTCATGGACACCCCTGACACATGCCTTACCTTGTGGCACAGAGGCAAATTCTATAACCTGTTTTTTCTATCCTTGACTCTAAAGCCAGAACCACGTGGCTGAAGCTGCCAAGTTCTGCTGCTTGCTGGGGCTGGAAAGTGGCCCCCTCGTTCAAATGACATCTTCACCAGCTTTCTGTTTTCCATAGTCTTCTTCACTGTCCTGAAACTTGCTCTGTAGACCAGGCTGGCCTCAAACTCAAGCTCTACCAGCCTCTGCCTTCCCAGTGCTGGGATCTAAGGTGTGCATCGCCACAAACTGCTCTAAGCTCTTCTTTAGTTCCTTTTTACAAGTTGGAAATTCAGCTGGATGGGATCTTGCCCTGAGGTCACCACTCCCTTCACTCAATTTCTTAATCCATTTCTCTCCTTGAACACAGGACTCAGCTCCATTTCATGTTCTGGTGCTCTTTTTCTACTCAAATATTTTTCCTTGCTCAGCTTGCTCCTTTTCATTATAAATCTTCATCAGAGTTAACACTAATAACCACACAACAGAGTCTATCCTAGACTGTTTTGAGATTTCCTCTGACAACATAATTAGTCCTAAGTTCTTCACTTTAGCCTCAGGTAGACTTTCCAGACAAGGTCAAAAAGCAGCCACTTCACCAAAATATCACAAGAACGATCTCTAGGCAAGATACTAAAATTCTTCTGCTTTATATCCTTCTGAGCAACCCCCCCCCCCCCACAGTTTACCAAGTCACATTCAATGCCACTGTCTTCCATGCTCCTATTAGTATGGCCCACTAAGCATCACTTAAAACATTTTATTGCTTTGGGGCTGGAGAGATGGCTCAGTGGTTAATAGCACTGGCTGGTTCTTCAGAGGTCTTGAGTTCAATTCCCAGCAACCATATGGTGGCTCACAACCATCCTTAATGAAATCTGGTGCCTTCTTCTGGCCTGCAGGCAAACATGCAGGCAGAACATTGTATACATAATGAATAAAATAAACATTAAAAAATATTAAAAAACAAACAAACAAACAAACATTTTACTGCTTTTCTTCTAACCCAGACTCTCAAGGTCCATATTACTCCAAACAAACACATGGTCAGGCCTGTCACTGCAATACCATAGTCCCTGGTACCAATTTCTGTCTTAATTAAGGTTTCTGTTGCTGTGAAGAAACACGATGACTATAGCAATTTTTATAAGGAAAATATTTAACTGGGGTGTCTTGCTTACAGTGTCAGCCCATTATCATCATGACAGGGGACATGGTGGTGTGCAGGCAGAACAGGTGCTGGCTTAATAGCTAAGAGTCTCACATTTTGCAGACAGCAGAAAGTTGACTGAGACACTGGGCAGTATCCTGAGCATAGGAAACCTCAAAGCTTGTCCCCACAGTGACACACTTCCTGCAGCAAGGCCATACCCACTCCCAACAAAGTCATCGCGCCTAATACTGCCATTCCTTATGAGATTATGAGGGCCAATTACATTCAAACTACCACGCCATGATTTGAGTGCTTTAAAAGAATTACAGAATTTAAAATAAGCAATTTATCTGTTCTTGTAGAAGGAAAACAAGTCCTTCATTTAAGATTTTATTTTTGAGATTATATTTATCATGAGTTCCTATCAGGAAGTTTTCAAATGACCGACTTCTAGAATGTTATCTTCTCTCTCTCTCTCTCTCTCTCTCTCTCTCTCTCTCTCTCTCTCTCTCGCACACACACACACACACACACACACACACACACACACACACACACACTTGAGATAGGCTCTACTTCTCTTCTACTTGCCTCTATGCTCCTCCCCCCACCCCCACCCCCACCCCAGGATACAGGCATTAAAGGTGTGTACCACCACACCTGGCTCAATGGTATATTTAATTCCCATATTCCTACTTTCTTCTCAATTAATAGTTGAATACAAGTCAGTATAATAACTGTGATGGAGGGTAAGAATCCAGTCACCAAGAGGAAGATTTAATCACATTGTCTATTATAGTCTAGAGACTTGCCCTTGAACAACAGGAATTATAACAAGTAGGTCTGATGGGGATGGTTCCTGCCATGGGTAGTGTTAGCTGCCATCTTGCCCCCAAATCTACAGTTTCCTGGGAGATGGGTCTCTGGGCTTGCCTACAAGGTAGTACCTTAAGTTAATAGAAGTGTAAAGATACACACACTGTGGGTAGCACCATTCCCTGCTGGGATCCTGTGGAGAGAGGGAGCTGAGCCTCAGCAGACACTCATTGCTCTCTGCTTCTGGACTGTGGATGCCATGTGAGCAGCTGCTTCCAGTCCCTGCTGCTTGTCTTCCCTGCCTTGGGATGTACCTTGATCTGTCAGCCAAAAAGAACCCTTTTCCATTAAGTTGCCTTTTCAGAGCATTTTCATAACTGCAACAATAACAACAACAGCAAAAAAGAAATGAAAAGGAAGAGAGGAAGGAAGAAAGAAAGGAAGGAAGAAAGAAAGAAAGAAAGGAAGGAAGGAAGGAAGGAAGGAAGGAAGGAAGGAAGGAAGGAAGGAAGGAAGGAAGGAAGAAAGGAAGAAAGGAAGAAAGGAAGAAAGGAAGAAAGGAAGAAAGGAAGAAAGGAAGAAAGGAAGAAAGGAAGAAAGGAAGAAAGGGAGAAAGAAAGGAGAAAAGAGAAGAAACCAAGACAGAATGCCAAATGTTGC